TTTGAGGAGCCCTGCGGGCTGGCTAGACTGGCCTGGCAGGCCGTATGAGGCCCACGGGCCGCATTTTGCTCACCCCTGCCCTAGAGCCCTCCCAGATCCAGATAGGATGTGGCACCCCTCATGGTCCTCAGGGGGGATTGCAGTGGGTCTCATGCCCCCTAGTGGCCCCCTTTGGTTGCTGCAGCCTCCAGTTGGGTTGATGCCACCCAAGCGCCCCCCGGAGGACCCCGTTGACCATTGCTAGTGCCCAGCCAGGCTGTGCCTCAGTTTCCCTCCTTCTCTCCCAGGCAACAACTTGAAGCTAAAGGCTGTGGAGGGAGGCTCCGTGTGGGCGCTGTGCTCCGTGGACAGCAGCCCCCCAGCCCAGCTGACCTGGGGGTTCGGGGGCCGTGACCTCAACACCTCCCAGCTTGGAGCGGGGGGCAGTGAGGGCATCCTGCAGCTGTTGAAACTCCACCCCGAGCACGCCGGGAACTACCAGTGCCAGGCCACCAATGACCTTGGGGGCACCCAGTGGGGCTTCCAGCTGGTGGTGGAGTGTGAGTGGGGGGCCTGGATGCCTGGGTTCCCTGGGAGATGGGGGCTGGGAGCCCGGATGCCTGGGTTCTCTGGGGGCATGGGAAGTGGGAGCGGGGGGATGAGGAGCCCAGACACCTGGGTTCCCTGACCCCCCTGCCCACCGCAGACAGCCCCCGCCCAGCTGCTGGCCCTGATCCCGGCCTGTGGTGCAAGCACGAGCCTGGGGGACCGCGCTGCCACTGCTCCCTGCGGGCAGAGCCCCCGGCCCAGCTGCACTGGGAAGTGAATGGGGCCACAGTGCCTGGTAAAGACCACCAGACCAAGGGGAACTGCACGGACAGTGCCATGCACTGGGAGGGACCTGGGGACTCCATCGTCGTCTGCATTGGATCCAACTACCTCGGCTCCTACGCGCTGCAGGGGTCCGTCCACACCCTGGCTGCAGGTCAGCCCCCTTCCCCCTCCGCTGGACACCTGGGTTCTCTCGGGGGTGGGGGCCCCAGATGCCTGAGTTCTGTAGGGGAAGAAGAGCCTGGACACGTGGGGTCTCTGGGAGGGCTGGCCTGGGAGCCCGACACCTGGGACCCCAAGGCAACTCAGCCCTGCTCTGTGCCCTGAGCAGAGGGATCCTCCAGGCTGCTGGGTCTGGGTGCAACGATAGGGGCTGGTGCCTTCCTCCTGCTCCTCCTCATCATCATCACAGCCCTCCTGTGAGTTCTGCTGGGTCAGGGGGCTGCGGGTCAGGAGCAGGGCTTGGGCGGGGGCAGGCAGGGGGCTGCAGGTCGGGTGCGAGGGGCACTGGCAGGGCTGGGATCTCACCCCACCCCCATCTTCTTTGCCCCCAGGCTCTGGGGCTGGCGATTAACTGCCCCGCAGGGGAGCAAGAAGCCCCCAGACCCCGGGGAGGCCCAGGCCGATGACATCAACCTAGTCTACAGCAATGTCCCCACCAGGGTAGGTCCCCATCAAGGCCCTGGTGTTTTGTGGCTGAGGGAGATCTGGGGTCCCCCATCCCAGTTTCATGTGCAATGCATTGTGGGTAGCGGGAACCCAGACACCTGGGGTCTCTGCAGGTCTGGGGTGGTGGGGGGCTCAGGGCCCAGACGCCTGGGTTCTCTCCCTGCTCTGGTAGGTCCCCAAGCCCAGTGCATCATGGGACGACCCCCATTACCCCCCCCTCCAATAATCCTCTCCCCTCCCTTCTCTCCTCAGGGCCCCCCCAACCCAGCAGCCCCCCTGGACTCCCACAGCCAGGACGAAACCCCCTACGCCAACATTGACTTCTCCCGCCTGCCGGCCCCCAGCACCCCCTGCGACCCCCCAGCCACTGAGTATGCCCAGATTCGCTGCATGGACCCACCCCCCGGTCGGGCGTGAGGGACATCATCGGGGCAGTTGGGGGAGGGGCTGGGGGTCAGGAATGAGGGGCACCAGCAGGGCCAGATGGGGCAGGGGGCACCATTCCCATAGGGCTGGGGTTGGGAGTGAGGGGCACCCGCCCCCTTGGGCTGGGGGGCAAGTGGCCAGGGAGATGGGAGTCCAGCCCCCTGCAGATCCTTATATGGGAAAGGGGGTGGGGCTTGGTCTGGTCCTGGTGCATTGTGGGATACCTGCCCCAGTGCCTTGTAGGTAGTAGGGGGTCCAACACGCCCCCCTGTCCTATCTACTTGGGCCTGATGCATTGTGGGTAACTGGCCTCCCTTGACCTTTACCCTGAAGCTTGTGCATGGTGGGAACCTCCCCCACCAGCTGCCCCAGGGCATTGTAGGAAGGCATCCCCTGGGGCCCAGGGTATTGTGGGTAAGACCTGGGATGCCCCTGCCCTTGCCTTTGGGGGCTCTAGGCTGGTGCCTCGTGGGCAGATATTGATCCCTGAGTCCTCCAGAAGCCTGGCGAGGTATCCCAGCATGCTTTGCATTGGCCCCAGGCTTGGGAGGGGGGCTCCTTACAATACAATGTGTTGGTATTTTGTGGCGTGAACGACCCAAAAATGCAATAAAAAACCCAAGAAAATGCCCCCAACCCCCTGTTCTGATGTCATTTATCTTTAGCTCCCTTCCCTTCCAGCAGTGGGGACAACCCAGGCGTCAGGGCCTCCAGAAGCCCCCCCATTTCACAACCAGCCGCAGCCTGAGGCAAGGCTGGGAACCGGATGCCTGGGTTCCTTGCCCCCATTGGGACCTTGGTGGGGGGGGTCTCCCCTCCTAGTGCCCCCCCAGGCCATGACAGCCCCCCAGTGGCCCCCGGGTGGGGGGTTCCAGTGGGTCTAGCACCCCCTAGTGGTCCCTGTTGGCCACTGCAGCCCCCAGCTGTGTTGGTGCTGCCTTGGTGTCCCAGGTGCTTGCAGTTGGCCACTGCCGGGTGTCCTCCTAGCACAGTGCCCCCTAGTGCTCCCGCAGGTGGGTCCAGCCCAGTTCCAGCCCATGAATGGGAGCACTGGGGGCACGCCTTGCCTGACATTGCTGTACCATTGTGGGGACAGGAGGAGGGGCTGGGAGCGCGGACACCTGGGTTCCCTCGCTCACACTGCCACCCCCCAATCCTGTTATATGCAGCTGTTCACAGTTGTTCCACCCCAGAATCAGCTGCATTTCTGCTCCAGGGAAAAGCTATGGGGAGGGGGAGGAGATCTATTAGGTAAAAGCTTGTTAATTAGGAACGGAGCAGGGGTCAGGGGGTCGCAGCCCCCAAGATGCTTGGGGGAGGGCTGGGGGGCAAGGGTTTGGAAGCCCAGACGCCTGGGTTCTCTGGGAGGGGAGCGCGGGGTGATGGGAGCCCAGATGCCTGGGTTCTCTCGACTCACTCCTTTCTCAGTTTCCCCCCCACTACCGTAAGGCACCTAATAGCGCAGAAATGCCAAAGCTCCCTGCAGTCTGAGCCCTGCCTGGGGGGAGAGGGGGGCCCAGATGCCTGGATCCATTGCCTGACTCTCCACCCTGCCCCCCCAGCCCCCCCTTCCCTCCCAGAGCTGGAGACAACCCAGGCATCCAGGCTGCTGTGTGTGTGTGTTGGGGGGGGGGCTGCGGGGTTCCCCCCCTCATCCCTGCTGCAGTAACAAAGACCCCCTCTGCTGTCACCCTGGATGTCCGGATGTGAGGCACCAGGCCTGGCTCTGGGCTGCCGGGCTCCAGCCGCGTGTCCGGGCCTTGCACACGCGTGTGCAAGCGTGTGCATGGGGGGGTGCATGTGGGGGTGCATGGGGGGGGCCATGGGGCAGCCCCGGCATGACCGGCTCCTGCTGAGATTGGCCTTCCTCCTCCTCTCACAAGGTAAGGTACCCTGGATGCCTGGGGTCTTTAGGGGGACTCTTCTGGACGCCTGGGTTGTCTAGGGGGCCCCCTCCCAGATGTCCCAGATGTCTGCAATCTGGGGGGTCCCTCTGGCAGGGGTGGGGGGGCCTGGACACCTGGGTTCTCCAGGGTTTGAGGGGTCCCCCGGACACCTGGGGTCTATGTGGGGGGTGTCCTGGATGACTGAGGTCTGGTGGGTCTTGGACACCTGGGTTCTGCAAGTGATGGGGTTCCCAGACACCTGGGTTTTCTGGGTATAGGGTGGGGGGGACCTGGACACCTGCATT